AGAGAGAGAGAGAGAGATACAGAGAGAGAGAGAGAGAGATCTATTCAATTAGATTTAAATACTAGAAGAGATGCAGAAAAGAACTCACCTTTTCATCATTAGCCACCATGAGTGTATCCACTGCCCGCTTCAGTTTTTCCACCTCTGTGTCTATTGAGAATATAGAAGAATCAAATTCATTGGTTCAGCAAGAAAAAAAAACACCCACACACGCACGCATGCACGTGCACACTTAACTTCAAGAACATTTTCAAATATTCGAATCAGCTTTAACGATCACTTGCATGAGATAATCACATGTACAAACGAACACTTCCCATTTCCTGTATTGGTTTTCCTTTTCTTCTTTTTTGGGGGGTTACATTTTCACCAAATAAAAAAGTTTCTGCCAAAAATTACCAATCATTTAAGAAATCCAAACTTCCTGATTAATCCAGAAAATCGGTGCGTCTGGTTTATGAAGCCCGACCCCCCCTCCATGCCCTTTGCCAAACAATTGGCGGAGAGGCTGGAAATCTCACCTGAATTTTCCAGGGGTAGGGTTCCATTCCTGCCCAGCCTCAGCCTGAGCTCTGAGTTCTCAGCATCCTTCAGGACAAGTTTGGCTTCTAGTTCTGCAACCTGACGCTGGAGACAAAAAGGTAAATAGCAAATGAAAAAAAAATCAACAAACATAATACTTACTAGCATTCCCATTTTAAAAAAAATGCTCCATGCACATTATATTCAGAGATATATTTCAAAACTACAGGACAGTTATGTACTTAGAATATAACATTATGTAAATACAGAATGATAGCAAAACATTTATCATTCGTTAACTCATCAAGACCTATAGATGTCATAATAATAATAAAAATATTTCATCCGCAAGTGTCTGACGATATTAGATAACCAATGCATCTGCAGAGGAGAGTAATTCTTACAGTGAAATAGAAGGAATAAGAATAAAGATGATTCATTGAGGCTTTTGCTATGGCCAGTGTCATCAAATTGGACACACAAGATTTTGCCACATTTAGAGCATTTAAAAGCTTTACTTCTAATTGTAAC